TTTTTCTTTTCCTAGCAGCTCCCTGTTGCCCTCCAAGCACTAGCTTCATTCCCCTCCATCCGCGCCACCCTCCCTGGGTGCCATCCGTTATAAACCATTTGTTCCTAATTGTGGAGATCCTGCTAATGACTTCTGAATGGGCAGTGGGGGGAGGAGAGTTCGGCTTCATTAGCGAGACTGAGTTCTTAGGCTTGAGGGGGAGTGGGGGCGGGTGTAGATGGAAGAGGGGTTGGTTCACAGTCCTTCTGGTGGCAGTGGGCAAATGATCAGGAGCTGCCTGGGAAGGTGAAAGATTAATAATCACCATCACAGGAGTTAACGTCAGTCTAGGACCTGCTGGGTGCCACATGTGCACTGTCCCGTGTGTTCTTCACAACAAACCTCTGAGCTGACTACAGGGCTATTCCTGTTTTACGGAGGAAGAAACTGAGACTCAGAACAGGACTTAGCCAAGGTCACTCAGTAGATGGTGGAGCCAGGATTTAGATCCAGATCCCTTTGACCAGGGTTCAGGCACTGAAAGGACCAGTGCTGCTTCCTTGGGAGGAAAACTAGACCTCACTTCCGGAACCACAGAGCTGGGCATTTGGTTTTCAGTCTGAGGGGTGGAGGCAGAGGGAAAATAAGCTTGAAAAGGCCAAATGATTCCCAATTGCCTATTGCTCCCTGAGCCCTCCATGCTTTCTCCCTGCTGGGATTTTTTTCTTTTTTTTGGCTGTACCACATGAGATCTTAGTTCCCAGTCCAGGAATCAGACCCTTGCCCCCTGCAGTGGAAACAGAGTCTTAACCATTGGACCTCCAGGGAATTTCTGACCCTGATGGGATCCTAAATGCCTCTTTCCACCAAAAGCTGTATCTGAATATCTCTGGCCTGCAGGGAGGGGAAACTGAGCCTACTTTTCTCCCGGGGAGATTCTTTTTTTGGTCTTTCCCCCCATTTCATCCAGCTGTACCTCCCCTTCACACCTACACAGCTGCGAGCTCCCAAGACTTGGGGGAAGGCACATTTGTAGGCCTCACAAGACTGTGCATGAGATCACGATGGTCCCTTCGTGGGGTCGAGAGGGGCTGGGCAGTCGGCGGTGTCTGAACTCCACTTCCTAGCTATGGGACCTCGGGCCCCAATTTCCTTGTCTGTCAATTGAAGCCAGTGATACCTGCCCTGTCTAGCTCGAGGTTAGGAAGCTTCACCTAAATGTAGAAGTGCTTTGAAAACTGCCAGGCACTGTTCGCATGCTGGCTCCTAAACTCTGTGTCAGCCTGGGCCTGCCTTCCCTGTTCAACCTAGGTTCAAGTGCATTTCACAAGGGTGTCTGCCGGGTGCTGGTGGCTGGGGCAGGAACCTACAGATCCATTTAACAATGTCTCTGTTTTCAAGGAGGCCAGGACCTGGTCGTCATCAGCAGAGAAAGTAGGGCTGCATCTGTAAAGGTTTTGGGGGAGGTGTCATTTCCCACGTGTCTCAGAGGTGGGCAGTCTGCAGTGATCTATCAGGCCCTAGCTGAGGCAGGCAGGGTAGACTTATGCCTATAGGGCCAGGGTGGTGACTGTGAGTCGGATGGGGCTCTAGGAAGTCTCAGACCTACCTGATCCCACGGGTGACCACCCTGGGGGAGGACTACCTGGGCCAAAGGGCCTCTCCTGGCCCGTCCTTCCTCCTCCTGGAACACCACCCCTGGCTGGGGGTCCAGATTGGGGTGAGGATGAAGCAGCATCACAGTGCACTAAGCATATGTGACCAGGACATCTCGGGAGGGGAGCTTGGGCCCCAAACCCCTGTCCACTCATCATCCACCCCTGGGCAGCTGTAGGTGGAACCAAGTCCCTCATTGGGTCGGGTGTTGGGGTTGGGCTGTAAACAAAGTCCATGAAATGAGCATGTGCTGCCCACTGTGGCCTCCCCCATCTTCTCTGTCACCCGCCAATCTTCTCCAAGCCAGTAACGAGGCAAGTGGCCATGAAAGTGAATGAATGAGTTAAGGATGAATGAATGAAGTGCCTGGAGGAACAGACCCCCGTTGCCTCCCCAGCCTCTCTGCCTACTTACCCCCAACACAGCTTGATTTTCTGTCCCCGGAAGTCGTTTCACGGTCCCCAGACTCGCTGGCCATTTCTGTCGTCTGTGGGGTGGGGGTCGCCGTGCGGGAACACCCTTGGCCTTCTCCCTTCACCCTCCTGGTGCAGTCCTGGTGAGCCTGTCCTTCCAGACTGCAGTCAGCACTGCCACCGCCTCTGGGCTCCGGCACCCACCACCGCTTCAGTCGCCGCCGTCTCGTCACAGCCCTGGGATAGGGCCATGTTGTTTCTCTTGTTTCCCCAGCACCTAGCACAGTCCGGGGCACAGCGGAAACCGGAAGGAGTGTGTGGGGAAGGCTGGGAGGTCAGAGGAGGTGACACGCTGGCCAGGCCCAGAGTCTCACCTGGGCCCCCCGTCACCTGGCCTGACGGGAGGAAAGCTCAGAGTGGTGGGAGTAGGGGGAGTTGGGGGGCTGCGGTGATGAAGGCCTGCCACAGGGAGGTCTCACAGGAATGAGATTGTAAGGCCCTGTCATTTTTTCCCTGGAAGTCTTGTAATTTCATGCTCCAGGGGCCCACAGAGTAGGAGAGTTGGGAGTGAATTCAGCCCCCCAGGCCACTCCCCCCACCAGGAGACTGCTCAGCGCCGCCCCCCCCACTTCCCCTGGAAATCCTTCCCGTGTGGGTCCTCTGTTCCTACCAGAGATCTGGGGTGCACCCTCCCCCCACCCTGACCAGCGTCCCCTCTGGGCCGCCTGGGCTGCCAGCTCCTGACCCTTGACCTTTCTGCCCCATCTCTACTTTTGGAGGACATACAGCATCGGTCTAGCTTGTGTCATTAGACCTGGGAGGTCCCTAAAAATGAGGCACACAGAAGCAGAGCCCCTTCCTGATGACACCCCAGCCACCTCCCTTCCTCTCCCCACCCTGCACCTCCTCCCACAGCCCCTCGGAGCCCTTGACTCAGGTCAGGTTTCTACTTTCTGATGTGTGTCTTGAAGAGAAGCAACCCTGGGCCACTTCTCCAGGTTGAGGTCTGCAGAAAGAAGGGCATGGGGGAGGTCTCGGATCTGAAGCGCTGGTGGTGAGGGCCACGCTAATCTGGACCCCACTTCTTCCCAGGGACACATTTCCATAGATAACACCAGGGTGTGTTTAGATCCTTTCCTAGGGTAAACTAGATTTAAGCCTCCGGGAGGCTCAGCTGTTCAGTGAAAGGGCTGCGAAGGGGGTGCCTTTACCCTTGGTACTCCTGGGCTCCCTGAGTGTTTGCAGTGGGTGGGGGGTGCATCCATGCCCCCTCTTCCAGAGCCACCTTGGTGGTGCTCAGCTTGCAGTGGGCATGGGAGTGGAAGTCCACGTGAGGCTAGACAAGGGCTTGTGTGGGCAGATGTGTGAGGGGGCCACAGGTGGATTCATTTATTAGGTGTGCTGGGGAGAGGCTGGAGGAGGTGATAGAGAAAGGTGGAGGAATTCAGAAGGGAAAGGAGCGGATCCTGAGAATGCCAGCTGTGTGCCAAGCACTGGTCCTTTAACACCCCTGTCCTTCGCGTTTTGGAGATGGGTGGTGGCCCAGGCTTGCAGAGCAGGAGGTCCAGATGCAAGGAGAGGGGATAACTTGCCCACGATCACACCATGGTGGTGCGGGGGGGGGGGGAGGTGTTGGCACAGCTGGACTTCACACTCAGGTCTGCCTGATGCCAGAGCCTGCTGTCCATGACCTGGACATGACCACTCCGGCCCCAAGGAGGCCTTCAAGGAACCTGGGGACAGACTTTTTGCTTCTGGAATGTGGATTCAAAACTAGTCCTGTACCCCCTGCCTCTGCACCCTCTACTGACCTGGAGTGGGAGGGGGTGTGCCTGAGGGGCAGGGATGGAGGGCTTGGCAGACCTTACAGAGAACTTCCTGGGCCTTCCCTTCCTACCAGACCTCTCCTACCCAACCTCCCACTGCCCATCTGCCCACCCCTCCCCTACCCACTGACTGACCAGAGATGCTCCTCCTGCAAACTCCATGCACTTCCCGTTCCCATGATCCCATGATCCCATGATCCCATGATCATGGTCATGATCCCACCACCTCAGGGTCCAGTCTGAGCCACCTTTGCCTCACTGAAAGTTCACACTCCCTTCAGGATTTAGTTCAATCCCCAAGTGCCATGACGTCCCAGGCCCAGAACCCCGTGGACCTGTAAAGCCATGCAGTGCTCAGACCCTGAGAGTCTACCCTCATTCACCCAACTATCTGCTATGACTTCAAGTGAATGCTATTCCCATGAGCCCTCAGACTGACCATCTAGTGAGACAGATGGCCTGGAAGCCAGGCTTCTTGGCCTCAAATCCTAGCTCTGATGCCTCTGAGTTATGCGATATTGGGCATATTACTTAACTTCCTGGAGAGTCAGTTTTCTTATCTGCAGAGTGGGTCTGATAATCCCTACCTCACACCTTCCCAGGAGAGGATCAATTGAGATCGTCCCTGTAAAGTGCCTGACACGTATGTAGTAGATGCTCGACAAATAATTTCTGTTGTTAATGTTAATACTTTCTCCTGGGTCATTGTTTGACCACCCACCCTTCCGTGTGCTCCCTCATTGACACATGTGTGCTATGTGCTCAGTCATGTCCAACTCTTTGGGACCCCATGGACTGCCCTCCAGGCCCTTCTGTCCATGGAATTTTCCAGGCAATACTGAAAAATACTGGAGTGGGTTACCATTTCCTACTCAGTTGGATTCTTTACCACTGCCCCCATTGAGTCCCAACAGTAGGGCTTCCAGGGTGAGTCCCTATAGGCTCTGATCCCCGAAGCCTGGTAGCTTCTCTCAATGACTCATAGCTTTATCCACAAGCCCAGGTGGAGCCCGCTGACCCTCTCACTCATTCCCACGACCTTCCACATGAACCTGACCTCCTCCCCTTCATTCTCTCCAAATGTCCCTTACAGCCGCTGGAGCACTGATGCACCCCTGTCTTGCAGGCTCTCCAGGTGGCCCGGCAGTTCCTGCTGCAGCAAGCCTCGGGCCTCAGCTCCCCAGGGAACAACGACAGCAAGCAGTCGGCCTCTGCTGTGCAGGTGAGGAGGACACCGGCTGTCCTGGGCTGGTCGGGGTGGACCAGGCACCGAGGGAGGGGAGGACCCGCTGGAGAAGTGCTCTGGCCCATCCCCAGTGCCAGAGAGCGGGCAGCTTCCCAGCGGGAGCCACAGTCACTGCCGGGTGGGTGGAGAAACGCCGCCCTCCCATCTGCACCTGACCGCCAGGCCTTCCCCTGCAAGCCCAGTCGGCTCAGAGTCTGAGTCTGACTCAGCCCTCCTCGTCTGCACCTCTCTGCCCACCGCCTCTGGTCTCTCCCCGGCACTTCTGGGTCACTCAGCCTGTCCCTCTCCCCAGCTCTCTCACTTGCTGAGGCCACCTCGCCCGGTCCTCCCCCTACCTCATCTCTCACCCACCAACCCTCTGTCTCCCCACGTTTCCTGTCTCTTGATGTCTCTCTGTCTCTTTTGTTTTCCTTTGCACAATCTGCCCTTTTTTCCCCCTCTCCCCTCCCCCCAGTGTGCTGGCCCATCTGGCCGGCTGGGGGAAGGGAGATGGGGTGGGGGGCGGGGGTAAGCCAGGCCTTCTGTTTACCTTTTGTGTCACAAAGAACTTGGGAGAATTGCAGTCTGAGTCGGGGTGGGTCACAGCTCCGCGGGCAGCCCGCTCCCCTCCCCATCACCCGGCCTAGCCGCCAAGCTTCCTCGCTCTCCCCACCCCTCTTTGCAGGGGGGGAGCGCTCCGAATTGGGGAGAGGATTAAGCAGGGCTTTGAAAGGAAGTTTATCTAAGGGAGGAAGGGTGAGCAAAGCTGGAGCCTTGGGGGGTGGGGGGCTGAGGGAAGGAAGCGGGGACCAGAAGGGCAGGGCAGGGATGGGGTACTGGGTGCCTGGACAAGGACTCAGGCCTGGGATTTATCCTAGGGCTCTGAACGCAGATCTGTGTTTTATGTAAGTGCGGTCAATAAGTTAAAGGTGCCAGACAGTGGCCCTCTTCTAAAAGCCTCCAATCCAATGAGACAGCTCGCAGGGGGAGGAGCCGGGCACAGAGGGGTAGTGGCCTGGCTGAGGGAGGGGAGGACAGAATCCGGAGAGCTAATGGGAATGAGGTATAAGGGTCTCCTGTCTCTTGTCATGTCAAGACTGGGTCTGGTTGAATTAGGGAACGCAACCCCCACATCTGCCTGCAATGCAAGAGACCTGGGTTCAATCCCTGGGTCAGGAAGATCCCCTGGAGAAGGGAATGGCTACCCACTCCATTATTCTTGCCTGGAGAATCCCATGGACAGAGGAGCCTCATAGGCTCTAATACATGGGATTGCAAAGAGCTGGACACAACTAAGTGACTAACACTTTCACTCCCCAGCCCCCCATATACTCCTTGGGTCTGAAGTGGCCCTCAGGCTACTGTGCTGAGTCTGTTCTGAGTTTTCTACCCTGGGCCCAGCCTACTGCTTTTAGAATAGCTTGCATGCTCAGTCATGTCTGACTCTTTGCTACCCCATGGACTGTAGCCCGCCAGGCTCCTCTGTCCAAGGGATTTTTCAAGCAAGAATACTGGAGTGGGTTGCCATTTCCTCCTCCAGGGGATCTTCCCAACTCAGAGATCTGAACCCAGGTCTCCAGTGGCTCCTGCATTGGCAAGTGGAGTCTTTAACACTGTGCCACCTGGGAAGCCCCTGGTCCAGCCAATACCACCTTCTAAAGTCGGGGAGGAGTCAGCTGGGGAACCGTTGGAGTATTCCCCAATCCAGAGAGGTCTGTTGACCCAGTAAGGGGAAGGAGCTGGATGGTAGTTGGAAGGACTGAGGTCAGGCATCAAGAAGGATTTGTGCCTGGGTGTGAGGAGTAGGATCTGAAATACTTGAGAAAAGAAGGGACACTGTGGTATCCTCCTTAGGAAACAACCCCCACCGCCAACAATGAGAGAGGTCACTCAACACTTACTCAGTACTTCCTAAACTGACAACATTTGCACAGTGCTTACCAGGGGGCAGACAAATATCATCCCATTTTATCTTCACCATCCTAGGAGATAGATGCTGTTATTAGCTCCATTTTGCAGATGAAACCACTCAGGCCCAGAGAGGTTAAGAAACATGATCAAAGACACACAGCTAACAAGGGCCAAGCCAGGATTTGAACCCAAACAACTAGCTCCAGAACACACACTTTCCTGCCTACATTGTGATGTTGTCATGTGCTTAGCACAGTAGTGAACCACAGTCCTTGGTACAGAGGCCTGGCCTGATGGTTCTCTGGGCTCTGGGAGATGGGGGTTCTTAAGGCTATGTCTGAACTGCTCCAGGAGCCTGGAGTCCCAGCTGATGATCCTCCTCCTCCAACCCTGGACATTCTCCTTGCCTCTCCTCCCCACGTTCAGGTTCAGGTTTCCAGGAATTGGGGCTTCTGACCCCAAGTGAGATCCAGGGCCTGGAAACAGCTTTTCTGTGATCTCACGGCTGGTGGGAGGACCCAGGAGAGTGCATTGTGTCAATCTGGAGTTTGAATGAGGTGGGTCAGGCAGCTCAGTGGCAGCCCCTTTCCCAGTAGTCCCAAACTCAAGGCAGGATTGCCTGCCTGCTCACCTCCCAGCTGTCTTCACCGCCCCTCTCTCTGAAAGCCAGCTTCACAAGAGTTTCTAAAGCCAGGTTAGGTCTCCAGCTCCAGCCTGGAGATTGTCTGGTTTCGGCCTGGGCCCCAGGCAGGGAGAATCACTCACAAAAGGCAGTACAGGTAGCTAGGAGTTTGTTCAGAGGGTGGTTGCGGCATCCCCTTAGTTAAGCCAGCCTCTGTCTCATCTTCTCAGCCCCCTTGCCATTCCTTGAAGTTCTTGGTGTCTCACCATGATCTTTCTTGCTGCAGCGCCAGCCAGGACTGAGGACTACTTTCTGGTTATTCTCAAGGGTTATTTGCAACCTTGGCCTAGTCTCCCCACTCACCCATTTAAAAGAGGTTGAGTTTGGGTCCTTGATTCTTGCACCAACTTGTGTCCATTTCAGCCTCCAAAGGAGCTGCTTCTATGCCAGGTGCCATCTCTGCTTCTCCCAGCCCAGCATACTGTATGCATGGTGGTTGGAGGGCTCCGAGCCTGAGCAGGGTCGCTGAAGGAGGGGCTGGAGGCAGCTGGCGGCATTTTGCCTGGGGCTCACACTGCTGGGGCTTTTGTAAGCGTTTAGCTGCCCTGGCCGCCCTCCAGATGGTGACTCACGGGCCTCGCCGAGCTGACTCGCTGACGGTGCCCATCCTGACACATCCCAGCCTGGTGAGGGGGATCACTAGGGACACCCGGGGGGCTCCAGCTCAGTCCTCAGAACCCCCAGGGGGGCGGGAAGGGGAGGGATGGGTTCAGGCCGTCTGGGAGATCGGCAGGCAGCAGCCACTTCACTGACCTTTCTTGACCCTGCTGGGCCACCTTGGAGACAGTACACACAAGGTAATCCATCCAGATTGCTGCAGCCACCTCTCCGGCCAGCTGCTCAGCCAGTTGGCAGGAACAGCAGAGGCTGGGGAGGCCTTCCAAGGTCATCTCTTCCATTCCCCTGCCTCCAAGTAGGAAAGCCCCAAGGAAGGAAATGCCGCATCCTTTCCTGCAGGCCACTTGCAGTGACTCACAGCCCTGGTGCCTGGAAAGACCTCCCGGGTGTCTGGGCTCAGTGTTCCTGGCCGGAGCCCTGGCCATCTGCACTAGGTCAGTCCGCATAGCCACGAGCATGGGAGGGCCAGAACTTTGGTCTCAAGTGACCCTTATCATGTAATGCCCCTGGGGCCCAAGTGCTGGGGCACACTCGTGGAGGAGTGGGGGGACAGAGGGAAAATGGAAAATCCAGAGGGTTTTTCAAAAGTAATTGTCTTTACGTTTGTGTAGAGTTTTGTGACACACAAATAACTTCCACTTACACCTTTTCCCATTGTCCCTCTAGGCCTCAGTTTTCTCATCTATAAAATGATGACCATGATGGTGCCGTCTTCCCAGGATGGCTGTGAAAATTCAGGGAGATGGTGCACATACAGGGCTTAGCCTGGTACATTATCAGTTGCCAACAACTTCTTCTTGAGAAGTCCTGTGAAGCAGGGATGGCAGGCCTGCCAGTTAGCGGATGCAGAAAGGGAAGCCTAAGGGATTTCAAAGGACAGTCGGTGTCAGGGACAAGAACCTGGGTCACCTGACTCAGAAATCCATGACTCTGAGCTCATCACTACCTTGTTGGGGGCACCCAGCAAAGGATACAGGCTGGCTCTGCAAGGCGGGGTGGGTGTGTGCCGTGGTCTGCCCCCGACAGCAGGCCCCTCCAGGGGTGGGGACCAGAACAGCCCTGTAGTCTGATTTTTCCCCGTCTTACCCAGTGACAGATATAAAGAGGGACATTGGGCTTTGGAATCTCCAACCTCTGACCCCTTCAGCTCCCTGGATGGTTCCATTTCCACTCACTCTCCCAGCCCTTCTCAAGAGCTGCTCGGGTGGGGCAGGCAGTGCGGGACCTGGGCACAGCGGGAACTGTGGAGTGCACAGACCTGGGCATGAATTCCAACCCTGTGCTTGGGGCGCCTTCATTCACCCGGTGTGACTGTGGCTAAAAAGCAAGGTGCCCCTTCCAGGGATGTTTGCATGGAGATGGCTGGGGTAGAGGAGGGGAGCCCAGGGCTGCGGCTCGGCCACTGCCTATGGGGTGGGGGCGGTGAGACTTGCTGGTGTCCCTCATTGCCCTGCACGTCCCCCCTCTGCCTGGGGATACCCCCACTGGTGGCTTCAGGCCGGGCCCGGCCCCTGCCAGAGATCCTGAGTGGAACCACCTCCTCTTCTGCCGTACTCATGAGGCTGGGGAAAGGTAAAAGGGCCCAGGAGTCCCCTGGGGACATAACCTGTCCTGTCTTGACCAGGACAAGTCTCTGCAGGATGCTCCTCCTGGACTGGGCTGCCGGCACCCCTCCCTCCCCGCCCCAAAGTTGATCTGCAGGGGAAGGTAACTCAGCTCGGGGAAGCATAAACTTACAGGAGTGCCTGTGGTGTGCCAGCTCTGCTGGGGCTGTGCTGGGGCTAGGGAGTGAGGCGGGAGATCAGAGTCTTGACCACGTAGGCCTTGAAGACTGATGAGGGGTGACCGATGGGCTGGTCAGGACACCTTTCCTGCTAAAGCAGGGCGACAAGACAGTGTTGCCACTTGGACTACCCTGGCTATGAACGCTCAGCTTGGGGATTTCGGGGGAGGTGGGAACTAGGAGAAAGAATAATGGTACTGCTTTTCCCTGAACCTTCTGCCCAGAGCTGGATTCTCTGGGCCTCCTAGAAAGGCCTCACCCAGGGCGGGGGACAGAAAGCTGCCCTATTTTGAGAACCCTGCATGTTCCAGCAGGATGGAGACATCTCTCACAGTCCGATCCCTGTTTTATGGTAGATTCTGGAGACGGCCAGTGACTTGCCAAGAGGTCACATGGCAAGTTCAGTGCAGAGCAAGGAGCAGTGGCCTGCCTCCCCATGCCCCTGCCTGGTATTTCCACCCCACTTGGACCTTGTTAGGTGCTTCCACCTATGCACTCACCCGGGATGGCACTACCGTGCTCCCTGGGCATCAGCCCCAGGCCACTGCATGTGCCATCTAGGCAGGTGGGCTGGAGTTCATGACATGGATGTGAGCTGGGCCAAAGTCCAGGTCCTGGCACCATGTGGGCATTTTGAAGCCTTCCTGTGGCTGCAGGCTGCCCTCCTAGCCAGGCCTCCCTTGTGGGTCTGTTGTCAGAACACACTGAGTAGGAGCTGGCAATGGCTGCATCCTGCCCCTCCCCGTCACTCGGTGGTGGTGGTGGGAATCCTGCAAAGCATGGGTTCTACTGACCAGTGTCACGAGGTTCTGATCTTCCCACACCAGGAACTGCATATAAGAGCTTCCCTGGTGGTGGCTCAGGTGGTAAAGAATTCACCTGCAATGCGGGAGACCTGGGTTCGATCCCTGGGTTGGGAAGATCCCCTGGAGGAGGGGCATGGCAACCCACTCCAGTATTCTTGCTTGGAGAATCCCCATGGACAGAGGAGCCTGGCAGGTTACAGTCCATGAGGTCGCAAAGAGTCGGACCTGACTAAATGACTAAGCACAGTACATCTGCAGGCTCTAAGGTTCTAAGTATTAGGTCCTTAGCCCCCGTGATGACCTTAAGAGGCAGGCAGTGTTGCTACTTCCATTTCAGAGACAAGAAAACCAAGAACAGGGACTTCCCTGGTGGTTCAGTGAATGAGATTCCGCAGTTCCACTGCCGGGGGCACGTGTTCTGTCCTTGGTTGGGGAACTAAGATCCCACAGGTTCTATGGCCAAAAAATGTTTGTTTTAAGAAGAAAGAAAACCAAGAATGAAGGAGGTGAGTCACTCATCTGGAGATGCACAGCTAGCAGGTGGCAGAGCCAGAATGTGAACCCAAGGTTGCTCACTCCGCAGCCACGCTGCCCTACTGGGGGTGGGGCCTCCGTGGGGCCGGGGAGGAGGTGAGCGATCTGACCCTGCCCATCCCGCAGGTGCCTGTGTCCGTGGCCATGATGTCGCCCCAGATGCTTACCCCCCAGCAGATGCAGCAGATCCTGTCGCCCCCCCAGCTGCAGGCCTTGCTCCAGCAGCAGCAAGCGCTCATGATCCAGCAGGTGAGTCTGCCCCTAGGGCCGAGGGAAGGGCAGGGAGGGGAGGGCGGGGTGTTCCAGCCTCCCCACTCCCACCCTGTTTACTACCAACATCACCAAGGGCCACAGCAGTGGCGGAAACCAGAGAGACTGCTCAGGCCAGACTGACCTGCCTTCCTCCAGGACAGCTGGGGAGAGGTCAGAGGTCAGGCCTCTCCCACAGCAGACCCCTCACCCCCTTTACCCTCACAGCCTGCTGGCCCCACCTGTATTTCCAAACCCCAAGGGAGGGACAGAGAACATCCCCCACCTTTTCCTTACCTACTAGGGGAGAGGGAGGGCACAGAGTATGGGGGAAGCTCCCCTCGCCCCTCTCGGTCCTGGCTCTCAGGGAACCTCTCTCCACACAGACTGGGAAGGGCAGAACAGCCCTCCCTGCTGGGCCATCTGTCTCTCAGCAGCCCAGTCACAAGAAGGCTGGTGCTGCCTTGGGGTCAGCAGTCCGGCCAGCGCTAACCCCCTTCCGCCCTGCTGCCCGCCCCCAGCTGCAGGAATATTACAAGAAGCAGCAAGAGCAGCTTCACCTACAACTCCTCACCCAACAGCAGGCCGGGAAGCAGCAACCCAAAGAGGTGAGGGGCTTGGACAGGGTGGGACGTGCCCTTCAAAGGACGCCTGCCCTTCACTCGCCACTTCAACCCCGTCCTGGCCGGAGTGGTCAGGAGAGAATTGCTTTGTGGGAAGAGTAGAAAAATCAGGAGAGGTTGGGGAGGGGGTGGGGGGTGGAGGCACATTCCTCCATCTCCCCTCAACCCCGTTCAGTCCTCATCTCCTCGCCTCGTGTTGTGGGATGAGGAGAGCAGAAGCGCCGAGCCCTGGGTTATCTGAGCACGCGCGTGTCGACGTGTGAGTGTCCTCATTCAGGACAGGCTGCCTAGTGGTCCTCCCATCTTCCTGCCTCCTCATCTCAGTGACCCAGCACCTCAGCCCTCCAGGCCTGGTCCTGAGAATCTTTCAGTCCCTTCACCTCTGTTCCAATTCCTATCACGTTCTATAGCATCCTGCGCTGCCTCTCCAGGGGACCCCACAGCCCACATCACTCTCCCTCTCTGGGCCACAGTGCCTCCTAAGCTTCCACACCAGGCCCTGTACCACCCCCCCCCCCCGCACCCCCTGCCCCTGCCCCCCGCCCCCCTCCTGCCACCCACACACAGCCATGTTCTGAGTTGCCTCTTCCCAGAAGCTGCCTTGCTATCGCCCAGTCATTCCCTCCTAGCCTCAGGCTCCCTGGCGGAGGTGTTGTGTTTGTTACATTCTCTGCATTGTCTCTAGGGTGGGTTTACTGAGAAGCCACTCTCCTCAATCTCCCACCTCCAGGGGGGTGGGCCAAGCCATCCCTGCCTCCTAAGCACCCAGGACTTGCTTGGCTCCTGGGGCTTTAGAACAGACTTACTGACAGACTGACTCGCCAATGCTTGTGTGAAGTACTGAATCTAGGGAGGTAGGGGGTGGGGGGCGGGTAGGGAGATCAAGGGCCAGGGCAGGGGAGAGAGAGCCAGCAAGAGCAGAACGAGCAAGTGCGGGCAGGCGGCAGGCACCTGGGCAGCAGCGATGTGTCTGTTCCCCTGTCTGGTGACCTGTCGATGCTGATCTGTTAAAAGTCCCATCAGACTCCTGGATTCTCTGTATCTAAGAAGCAAGAGAGGAGAGGAGATGGAGGGGAGAAGGCCCCCTCCTCAGAGCAGAAGGGGGGCACCCCGGGCATGTGGGAAGGGTGCCCGCCGAGCGGGAGTGGCCCCCCGAGTCTGACAGGCTCATCCATCATTGTGATGAGAGCCCCCCGCCCCCCCAAGGCGAGCACAGCTGTGGTGCGGGAGCTGAAGCCGCGGAAGGAGGGAGGCGGGAGCAGGGAGGACGTCGTGCTGCGTGTCTGGGTCTGGCTGTGTGTGTGTGTGTGTGTGTGTGTGTGTGTGTGTTTGCGCGCCTGCGTGCGTGCGTGCAGGCGTGTTTACCGCGAAGAAGCATGCAGCCCTATGGAAGCTGGGCCGGGAGCAGGGAAGCTGCAGCGGCGGACGCCACCACGACAGCTCCAGGAGCCGACAGGCCCTGGGAGGGGGTGGCTGCAGGGTGGGGGCCAGATGGCACGCCGGAGGCTGAGGGGACTCCTCTCTGCCCGCCCCCGCGGGCCCCCCACCAGGCCCTGGGGAACAAGCAGCTGGCCTTCCAGCAGCAGCTTCTGCAGATGCAACAGTTGCAGCAGCAGCACCTGCTCAACCTGCAGAGACAGGGGCTGGTCAGCCTGCAGCCCAGCCAAGCCTCGGGGCCCCTGCAGACCCTCCCACAAGGTGAGTGCCCAGCCCCCACCCAGCCCCACCGCCCTCGCTTGCCCCCAAGGGCTCCCAGGAGCGAGCTGCAGCAGGGGGCCGCCCGTGTTCCTGGGACCCCACCAGCCTCCCCTCTCTGCCCCGCAGCAGCTGTGTGCCCCACGGACCTGCCCCAGCTGTGGAAGGGCGAGGGTGCCCCCGGGCAGCCCGCCGAGGACAGCGTCAAGCAGGAGGGGCTGGACCTCACCGGCACGGCCACCACCGCTACCTCGTTCGCCGCCCCCCCCAAAGTCTCACCCCCCCTCTCCCACCACACCCTGCCCAACGGACAGCCCACTGTGCTCACACCTCGGAGAGACAGGTATGGAGCTCGGGCCAGGAGGAGGCACTGCACACCTACCTGGGGGCTGGCCTTGACCCTGAGGGCCGGCATAGTGGGGGCTGGGGGGTTTACTTCTCCCCGGGGCACACAAAACTGTGCTCTGCCTCCGGGGAACCTGTATTAGGGACTGAAACCTCATCTGTAGGGGAGCTGGGGCTGCGCAGAACCCAGGCTGCTGGGGTGTTCCGGGTCGCTGACCCCCGTCTCCCTCCTGTCCTCACAGCTCCTCCCACGAGGAGACGCCTGGCTCCCACCCCCTGTACGGACATGGAGAGTGCAAGTGGCCAGGCTGTGAGACCCTGTGTGAAGACCTGGGCCAGTTTATCAAGTAGGTGTCACCACCCGGCTCCTTTGTCCCCCAGCTGCCACCCAACTTGCCCAAGTGTCCTGTGACCTCACCCCAGGGGGGCACTCGTTCCTTCTCTGCACCATCAATTCCCTCATCGCTCCTACCTGGCCCCCCCACAATTTGTGCTCCTGGTCTAGCAGCCTTCCCACCCTGTCCCCTGTCCCCAGTCCCCAGGCAGCTGAAGCCCAGCAGGGTGGGGGTGTGAGGAGGAGGAGAGACCTTCTCCCACCGCCCTCCCTAGCTTCCCCCAGGCCCAGCCCGGCGAGTGACGGCCTAGAGACGGCTTCCGGGCCTGGCGGACAGGCGGCTGGCAGCAGGCGGCCAGCTGCCACAGCCGTGCCAGGCTCTGTCACTGACTGATTAACTCCGCTGTCTCCCAGACCCTTGCAGCATCAGGGTCAAACAAATTGTTTTCACGCTTCGTCAGAGGTTTACTTAATTAGTTCATTTGCAATTAGATCTCTCTGTAGCTGGGATTTTAGCAAAGACATCAAAGGAGGCTGACGAGAAGGCGGCTTCCTCCGTGGCCCTGTTTTTTTTTTTTTTTTTTGCCCGTTTTTTTTGTCTGGTTCCCTTCTTTGTATGTCATGGTCTGTCTGCTCTCCAGGCCGTGGGCGGGATTAGAGGAGGGGAGGGGAGGGTGGTGACAGCAGGACGACCAGGGCCAACTTTCTCTCGTCCGCCCCCTTCTCCCCCCGGAAGACACCTCAACACGGAGCACGCCCTGGACGACCGGAGCACAGCCCAGTGCCGTGTGCAGATGCAGGTGGTGCAGCAGCTGGAGATCCAGGTGTGGCCCCAGGCTGTGGGGGCAGGGTGCGGGGGGCTCCTGGAAGGGTCATCTTATGCTCTCGAGGTCTGTGAACACAGCTGGATTCTGAGGGGGAAAACCAGGGTTGGGGGCCACTCTGCTGGGAGGTCCCAAAGAGACACATACTAATAAAAACAACAAAAATAAACAGGAATCGCTAACATATTGAGCACCTGCTTGTGCTATGCTAAACACCTAGGTGACTCAAGGAATCCTCTGAATGACCTTATATGAAGGGTACTATTATTATGCCTGCTTCGTGTGTGCGCAGTCGTGGCCGACTCTCTGTAACTCCATGGACTGTAGGCTACCAGGGTCCTTGGTCCATGGCATTTTCCAGGCAAGAATACTGGAGTGGGTAGCCATTTCCTACCCCAGGGCATCTTCCCGACTCAAGGATCAAAACTGTGTCCCTTTGCGTTTGCTGTGTTGGCAGGCAGATTCTTTACCAGTGCGCCACCTGGGAAGATGCTATGCCCACTTTACAGATATAAAAAACAGAGGCACAGAGAGGTGCAGTAACTTGCCTCTGGTTACTCAGCCAGTGGGTAGCAGAGCTGGGATTAGAACCAGAGCAGTCTGGCTCCAGGGTCCACGCTCTGCAGCCTGGAATACTTCGGAGGCTACTCGGGACAGTCCCTGAGGCAGCCAACCAATGTTTACCCACTGCCTTCCAGTACCCAGCAGAGCACCTTGGCGTGAGAGGATGGTTGTGAAAGATCCATTGAATTTATGAATAGGGGTGAATGAATCATCCATCCATTCCTGTATCCCCATTCAGTGTGTGAGGGCACTCTCACACACACAAGTGCCGCTGAACTTCAGCCACAGCCTCTGCCCTTGAGGGGGAGAAAAGGCGTGTGCTGTTGGGGAGAAGTGGGCGCCGACGGGCAGCGGCTGTGCTGGGCTCCAGGCCGGGGACACAGAGTCCGGATAAGCAGGGAGGGTTTCCTGGAGCAGGAGATGGAAGGAGATGCCAGGGGCCAGGGATGAGAGGTCCTGGGGATGGGGGTTTGGGATGTGGAAGGGGAAGAGGGCCCGGCTGCCCCTAGCACAGGTCCCTAGCTCACCGCCCGCCTCTCCACAGCTCGCCAAGGAGAGCGAGCGGCTGCAGGCCATGATGACCCATCTGCACATGCGGCCCTCGGAACCCAAGCCCTTCAGCCAACCAGTGAGTGACTCCCCTCCCTGAGGCTCTCTCAGAACCGCGCGTCCCCCGCCCCTCACTGGGGACCCCCCCGCCCCCCGACTCAGCACCCTGCCCCGTTGCTCACAGCTGAACCCAGTCCCCGGCTCCTCCTCATTCTTCAAGGTGACCGTCTCCGCAGCCGACTCGTTCCCAGACGGCCTTGCGCACCCCCCCACCTCGGCTGCCGCCCCCGTCACCCCGCTGAGGCCCCCCGGCCTGGGATCAGCCTCGCTGCACAGTGGGGGCCCTGCCCGGCGGAGGAGCAGCGACAAGTTCTGCTCCCCCATCTCCTCAGGTAAGGGCCGCCGCAGGGAGGGGCGTCTTCCGCCACAGCCGGAGCCCCTGCTTCCGGTTACCTCCTCAGGCTCTCCCTGTCTCCCCCCAGAGCTGGCCCAGAACCATGAGTTCTACAAGAACGCCGACGTCCGGCCGCCCTTCACCTACGCCTCCCTGATCCGCCAGGTGAGCCAGCCGTGGGGAGGTAGATGGAGTGGGTGGGGGGCGGCACGCTGGCTGCGCACCTCGCTCAGGGTCCCGGCCCCCAGGGGATCCTGGGAGCAGAGAGCATCACGGGAGTCTTGTCCCGATCGCTCCCGCGTTTTCCTCCTCGGCCAATGGCCTCTCGCATGGGACCTCAGCTGATCCCAGCCTGCTGGTCAGGTGGACCCGTCTCTGAGAGCAGACTCGCTGTTTTTTGCTGCTAATAGCCACCGTGTCATCCATTCTCTGTTTTCCACATACATGTTACTCCCGTGAGACTATTTTCTAATAGACTTACGGTCACTCATAGCGTGTCTTCTTTTCTCTGTCTCTCTCTCTCATACACACACACACTCTCCATCTCATTCTTGGGGTGCCCTTTGCCAAAACCAGGATAAATTCCAACTGGCCTGCACTACTTTCAAGAATGCTGCTTTCCTTCCCAGTCGAGGCAGGAGCCCTTTGAGCCATGTTTCATCCAGCGGAGATTCATGCATTCCTCCCAGCAAGTGCATGGCCCTTGAGACTTGTGTTCCCTGTAGCCTCTGGTTGGGCTGCAACCAGCCTGCCCCTCTCAGAGCACCAGAGAGCACCCCCAGTCTTGTCCACGTGCTTCCTCTGTGGGTCTCTTCTGCCCTCAGATGAGTTAAGGGCCCTAGAGGAGAGCTAGGGAGAGCACACAGGCCTGTGAACCTTGGAGGCCCAGACTGAGGGTCCCTGGACTTCTTCCCTGTCCACAGGCCATCCTGGAAACTCCCGACAGGCAGCTGACCCTGAATGAGATCTATAACTGGTTCACCAGGATGTTTGCCTATTTCCGGAGGAACACGGCCACCTGGAAGGTAAGGCATACCGCTTCTTCCTCACCAGGGCCCTGGGCAGCCTTGGACATCTCCACATCTCTTTGAAACCAAAGCTGCCTAACAGGCCCCTTGGAGAGGCAGTTCTGTACAAACGACTCAGCGGGCCCCAGGCTGGGCCCTGGGCCCTGAGCCCCTACCCCCACTTCTCTAGAGGGCCCCCCCCCGGCCCCAAAGACCCCAGCCCCCTCAAGTAGGGCCTCCAGGAGTCAGTAGTGCCCAAACCTGGTGGGGAGGCCTGGGTCCCATTCACAGGAGACCTTGAAGGTCCAGATTCCTTGCCAAAGCGCACACTCTGAAGCCTAGAATGGGTGTGGGGGGGATGGGTGATTGCAGGCCTGGACATGTGTGTAGACCGAAATCCTGGACTGTACTATGGAGCACAAATACAGACGCTCATACTCTTCCCCAGCTCCACCATCAGTGGCAGGAAGATAGTTGTCTTCATCCAATTAGTCATTTTAACACCTTCAACCGTAGAGTTTTCCTGCTGGACCAGAAACAGGCAAGGGGCAGATCCTAGAAAAATGGGACACAGAGATGTGAGCTTAGATACTACTGTTTATTTTTCTAGAGCCAGCATGGGGGGTGTGCGTCTGTCTGTCTGTCTGTCTGTCTGATGGGTGAAAGTATTAAATTCTGTGCAGCAAAGTGGGAGCGGCTGAGGGGAAAGAAGGAAGTGTCCGCTCTCTGTGGGAAAGGATGGATACCAGGGCCTGGTGTCGCAGGACATGAATCACATCCCTGGCTCTCGAGTCCCTCTGCTGGCCAGAGCAGAAGGTGCAGTTAGCAGCCTACCTCCCCTGGCCCACCAGGTTTCCACAAGTCTCACAGGGACCCCCTCCCCACCAGTGATCAGGACAGGTGGGGTCTGTACAGAGCCCAGCCTTCTCTTCCTTGAGAGTGCTAAGTTCAGCAGGAGAGACTGCTTCGTGACCTTCTGTATCCCCATGCCCAATTCCCAATGCTTGCCAAAGATGCTGCGAGGCTGGGACAGCTGCTCTGATTGGCTGTGAGTGATGTCATTTCCTGCCAACCACAGTCCTGCCCTCTCTCTGAGCCAGCAGGGCCTTCTGGGGGCCACCTGGTTCAGTCTCCAACCTGCAAGCCGGTTTGGATACCAGGTTTCATAAATGACAGAGTCTTATACAAATGTCGGGATCATTACAGTTGTTATGTAACATTTGCTTTACTATATTAATCCTCTACCTTTAGGGGAATCAGTGTGGAGCCTCACTGCTACAGACAGCCTCCTCCTTGGGGGCTGAGTTCCTCTCACCCACCTACCCTCCTTTCCTGTCGTCTCTTAACTATATCACCTCTACAATCCCTCTTGAGGTCAGGAGGAGCTGGTTTAGGTGACTTCCTTAAACCCCTCGATGACCATTAGGAAGCCACCCCTCCCATAGCCCAAGCCCCTGGGCCTTCATACCAACCACCTTTGACTGGTGGCCCAGCCTTTGTCGTCTCAGCAGTGTGTCTCCCTCCGTGGGTGTCTTCACCCCCACCTCCCCTCGCCTCATTTAGGTCCCAGCAAAAAGCCCACTCAGTGAGTGACTGTCCCATTGAGCTGTGCTCTGCTGCTGCTTCTGCCATGTGTAGGGCACCACCTGTGCCCTCCCGGTGGCACAGCAGAAACCATCTCAGCTTGTGGTCCACTCTGACTTTCAGGGTCTTTGCTGCCAAGCTTCCACTCATGTCACTTGGGAAATGCACCCTGCGTACACACCCGACTCATCTGTTTCCTTTCCACCCGTTCATCTGCTCCGTGAGGTCCCTCCTCTTCTCTTCAACTACTTCAGCTTCCTCTCCTCCCTCCTCCTTTCCTTCCTCAGGCCCCCCAGCCTGGGATGCTGTCCGCTTCAGACCAGGGCAGAAGGGTCGGGAGCCAGTGTGGGCCAGGCCAGCTGCCGTTCATCCGGGGACAGAGCGGCCATCTGCCAAGCTGACGGTCCTTGCTGGCCCTCCCCCTGTGTCCGTCCCCTCCCAGGGCCTGTGTTGTGGGCCGGTCCTTTTGTTTACGCAGCCCCCGCCAGACCCCTTAAATTGCCGTTAATGTTTCAGCGTAACGAATTAGTCTCTCATCACGAATCAGGCTTCGAAATGAGGGAAAAAAGCCCCGGTGAGGCCATCCTCGGAAATTGGGGTCATTCTCATTTGCAAAGCGGAGGATCGGAGCCCCGTAATGCGGGCAAATTTATTCCGAGGCAGGAGCCCCGGCGTGATTAGGCCCTTTGTAATTATCGCTCCAAGAGATTCCACTCCAGCCGCCCGCCTCCCTCGTGGATTAGCAAGCGAGTCGGAAAAATACACAGGATTTAATTAGAGGCAAATTAAAATTGGTAATGAAATCGGGCCAGTTGCAAGTGGCAAGAGTTGGAAGGGAGAGAGGGAGAGGGGATCTCCAGGGGCACGGGCTGCCCGCCCAGCCTGCTTTCTTCCCCGTTTAGAAATGTAAAGAGGAGACAAGGATGGAAATGAGGTGGGGGGAGGCTGGGGGGACAGGTAACAGGGGCAGGGATGGCTGGGGGTGTGAAGCTGAAAGAGGAGAATGGGGGGACAGGAGTGAGGGACGTGGCGAGTGGCGGGGGATGGATTAGGGCCCTAGCCCAGGCTCCCAGGGGGCTATTTGGGCCAAGCACCCTGCCCCCACCCAAGTGTCCTACAAACCAGATGACCTCAATTCCTGAAGTTATCCTGCTGGGAGGAGGTGGGACCGCCAAGGTGACTTTTCTTCTTTTGCCTCCTCTTCCTACTGTACAGCCACTAAACTCACACTCGCCTTTCTCCCAGCTTCCTTATGTTAACAAACATGCAGTAGGCCCCTACTGTATACCTCGTGCTCTCAATAAGCTATGTGTTCTGAGCCAGAGGGCTTCCCTGGTGCCCCAGTGGTAAAGAATCCACCTGCCAATGCAGGAGAACACATGTTCGATCCCTGGGTTGAGAAGATCCCCTGGAGAAGGAAATGGCAACCCACTCCAGTACTCTTGCCTGGAAAATCCCATGAACAGAGGAGCCTGGCAGGCAACAGTCCATGGGGTCACACGACTGAGCGGCTAAACAATAACAGTCTCAGCCACAGCCCAGAGTCAAGGCTCCCATGCTCCAAGGGGACAGAGGAAGTTGCAGCGAGACTTCTGAGTTATTCCCAAGACTTTTGAGGCTTAATAGAGACTCTGTGTGTGCCTGAGCTACGACGTCCCAGGCTCACTGAGGGCCAGGGCCTGAATGGCATCTCGTGTTCTTCAGAAGCCCCAATGGCTGCATGCGTCTGTCTGATGGTGGTGGGAAAATGGGTTATTGCTAACGAGGTGTCAGTCACCTGGTAGAGTTTTCTCTAAACTCTTTCTAAATGTGGCGGGGAGCAGACGATACAGCGGGCCGGTGGCAGCGAGGGGTACCGGGGACCCCTGGCTCCAGGGGCGGAGAGGGGCCTTCTCTCTGCTCCGGCTGTGTCATCTCCTCCTGCCCACCCCTTGCCGCTTGTCACTGGGCCTGGGAAGGTGGGACCAGGTAGGACCTGAGAACCCTCCTGTCTTTGCTCCCCCACTTGGAGGAGGGGCCCCCTCTGAGCATCTGCTTCCTGTCCCCGTTCCCCCAGAATGCGGTGCGACACAACCTCAGCCTGCACAAGTGCTTCGTGCGCGTGGAGAACGTCAAGGGCGCCGTGTGGACTGTGGACGAGCGGGAGTACCAGAAACGAAGACCGCCAAAGATGACGGGGTGTGTGGGCCACCCCCCCATTCCTCCCCAGGGCGCCTCTGTGCACCAGAGCCTTCCCACCATGGAGGGAGGGTGGGGAGAAATGAGGCCACAGGGGCCCAGGATGGCCCAGAGTCTAGAAGTGACAGGTGATTCAGGGAGAGGACATTTCAGTCTTCTGCTTCTGACCGAGGGAGGAACTGAGAGGAACCCGGCATCAGGGTGGAGCCCTCAGCCGGAGCCAGGGTGTGAGCAGGTGGTAGCCAGCGTGGCCATTGATGAAGGGGCTACCATCCCCAGGGCTGCTCTCCCCCGTCTTGTCACGGGATGAGCCAAACCTGTGAGATCCCTGGGCCCCACTTTATTTTTTACAGGGAGAGGAGGCCCAGAGAGGGCAAGGGGCTGGAAGGCAGTCACCCAGCAGATCCCAGGCAAAGCTGGGTCTCTGACGTCTCCCATGTAGCGCTTTGAGTGGAGACTGAGGGACCTGGGAGAGGGTGGGAAGCTCCTCTTTCAGCTTCCCTCCCAGCACCGCCACCTTCCACCCCAGACATCTCACGTGGGCCTGCCTGTGCTTCTTGGGCCAGAGGCCTGTGAGGAGGCAGAGAGAGGTGTGAAGCAATTAGATGTATATCTGTGGGTGCCTATACCCCTCAAAGATTCCTTCTCCCCAAACAAGAGCCTCTTTACCTTCAGGCAGCAGTGGGGGCTGGGGCAGGATTGGGACTCAAAAAGGAGCCACACCCCTTCTGAGTGCCCTCATATGCCAGTCCCAACACTTAAAATCTTCATGTCCTGTTTTCACCCTGGAATCAGAAGACCTGGGCTCTAATTATACCTCTACTTCTCCACAGCTGTGTGACCTTGGGCCAGCTTCTTAACCTTTCTGAGGCACTCTCTAAACTAGGGGGTCATCACTGTAGAGGATGGCCTTGAGCCACTGCTTTTCCTGACCCAACTCCTGGAGTCCTTTTTGTGTAGAAAAGCCTGCAGTGTAGAGCATGTGGGGACAGGCTGAGCACATGGCATACTAGATGTCCCAGAATTCAGGATGGCAGGAAAGTGGGTTTTACAGAAAGGGGACTGTGGAGGCTATCACTCAGACCTTGTCAGACAGCAGGAAATCTAAACTGAAGAGAAAAACTACTGGGCTGCCTGACATGGAGAAAGACACAGGGAAGAATCTGTCTCACTATAGCTCTGAGACTCTGGGCGTGTTCCAGGGTCCCTAGGAGCCCGGGCAGCTCTCCTGTGAAGGGGGCTCTTGGTTCCTGCTGCTTCAGGTCAGCAGGAGGGCTGAACAGGATAGGCACGGCTGACTATGACCTCCAGGACAGTGAACGGGCCCTCCCCTGGCACAGAGCAGGCCCTCAGTTAGGGTCAAGGCCTGAGTGAGGAGTAAGCCGATGCATGAAGCAGACTTACCTTCTCTCTCCTCCAGGAGCCCCACCTTGGTGAAGAACATGATCTCGGGCCTCAGTTATGGAGCACTTAACGCCAGCTACCAGGTAGTGGACTGGTCCCCGACCAGCGCCCTCCCGCCCCCTCACCTTCCCACCTGCTCACTGGCCTCAGAAGAGAGCCTCCTCCACTGTCTCCGGCAGAGACACGGGGCACGGGGCACGGGGCAGGGAGGTTGGCACAGATAGGTAATGGCGTCCCCTGCCCTGGCTTGTCCGTGTTGGGGGGGGGGGGCGGGGGGGGTCCTCTGTCTCCCTGGAAGGAATAAGTCACGCCCAGGTTCTCAGCAAAGCTGGGAGGCAGGTCAGAATCAGAGGCAGGAGCGCCGGAGATCTGCCAGGGCGCAGACATTGGCACAGGAGGCTCCCGAGGGATGGGGAAGGGACATCACCCAACCAGGTGGAGCCCGCTGATGGGGCTCCACTCTGTGCTCTCCAGGCTGCCCTGGCCGAGAGCAGCTTCCCCCTCCTCAACAGCCCCGGCATGCTGAACCCTGGCTCCGCTAGCAGCCTCCTGCCCCTCGGCCACGACGACGCGGGTGCCCCCGTGGAGCCGCTGCCCAGCAATGGCAGCAGCAGCCCGCCTCGCCTCTCCCCACCCCAGTACAGGTGAGGTTGCGGCGTGGACCCCAGGCCACCCCATTCCCCCACCCCCAAACCTTGGGAAGATGGGATCTTGTCCCCCTGCAGCTGGGATCCCTATCTTGTCACCTCTGGTCCAGCTCTCTTCCCAGGACCGGTGGCCCCCCTCTCTCCTCATGGCTCCCCACCCCCATCCTCTTTTTTTATTTCCTTCCCTCCATCCTCTCTCATCTCCCTTCATCTCTCCTTCCCAACCAAGGACCGTCTCTGCCTATCCCAACACCTTTCTTTTGAAGACAGCCCCAGGGGAGACCAGACTGTCAGCCCTCAGTCCCTCAGAAATGAGGGGCTCCTGGGGAGACACCCCCCGTGCCCCCAGATTCTGGATGCATTTTGGGATGGGAGCGGGCGGGGAAGGCCCCCCGAGTGTCCGCATCACCCCTTCCGTCACAGCCACCAGGTACAGGTGAAAGAGGAGCCGGCTGAGGCCGAGGAAGACAGGCGGCCCGGACCCCCCCTGGGGCCCCCCAACCCCAGCACCGCGGGGCCTCCAGAAGACAGGGACCTGGAGGAGGAGCTGCCTGGAGAAGAACTGTCCTAAGGGCCTCCAGGGGCAGGCGGGGCAGGGGTGAGACCCCTCCCTCCGGGAACCCAGGCCCCACTTACCCCACTCCACGCCCCGCCCAACCTCAAGGCACTTCCAGGACTCAGATGGGGGGGCTGGGCCAGCAACTCCCAAGGTGACCTGACTGACCTACGACACTCGGGGGCAGGGACGGTCCTCCCCCCACCCCGAGGGGACACAGAATCCCTGGTCTGGGACCGGCAGAGGACACGGAGGGCCCAGACCCCTCCTCAGACTCCCCCCCCCAACATCTGAATTCCACGCCCCCAACCACCAGCAGTAGCAGGGCCCTCCTCCCCCACCAGCTGGCCCCTACAGGGCCCCTCAGCGCCTTGGAGACCCGCAGGCGGGGCTAAGCCACCCTCTCAAACCCAGGGCACCGCACCCCTGGCTCTGGCCGCGTGGTCTGGCCAGAGGCCCCCACTTCCTCCATCTGTGCTCCCTTCCACCATTTTGTCCGTACTGTGAAGAAATAACTCCAGCCCGACTCCTTCCCCTGCCCTGGCCTGGGTCAGGGCAGCTAAATCTCAGAGCAGCCCCAGGAGAAAGCAGCCCCCTCAGCTCTGCCTGTTCAGAAGCCACAGCTAGTGGTGGGAGAACCCGGATTGGGGGCAGGCCCGTGGAAGTAGGGTGGCCGCTCCAGGCTGAATAGGCCTGCATCCCTGTTTGCTGGCCGCTGCCCCCCATGCCAGGAAGCACAGGAAGAGGCCTGTGCCCAGTGGACTCTTGGAGGTGGAGCCGAGCCACCCTTGAGGCTGGAGTCAGGCCAGGTGGTGCCGGGGCTGCAGGAAAGCATCTGCCTCTATCCCGGGGAAAGGCCCAGCTGAAGCCGGGCGGGCGGGGGCGGGCGGGATGAATACGGTGGCTGCTGTGACCCAACCGGTCACTCCCACCCCAGCCTTCAGGTCCCCCATTGCAGTCTTCCCTCAGCCGCCCCCCACCCCGCACCCCTCAGTTACACGGATGACCAAAGACCTTTCTTATGCCAGAAGCAAAAACCAAAACTTTTCGTTGGCTTTTTCCTTTGTCGCCTCCCACATCCCCTGGTCCTCTTGCCCACCCCAGCCCCAGGCTGGAAGCCCTCCCCGACTTAAGTTATTGTTTTAAACCAAAGTTTACAGTGTCTGTTGGTGGCCAAGACCCCCTCTCTCCACCCCAACCCTGAGGACCCTGGGACTCAGTAGAAGCTGGGGGCCCTGCGCACCTCCCCTCTGCTCGGCCTGGCCTGGGGGAAGGAGCACAGACAGAGGGGAGGAGACTGCCGCCCTCAGCTCCCTCTGCCCCCCGGGTTCTCGTCCCCTTGGGCCGGGGGCATGGGGAGCCCTCCTCCCAACTGTGGGCTGCTTCCTGGGGGCTCTCCAGACCCCCTTCTCCAGGACCAAGTTCCCCATCACACTGGGAGTGTGGATTCCAGCGAAGGAGCTGGAAAAAAAAGTGAGACTCTCCACAGACCCCCTATGGGGGACCCCAACTTAAGGCCAAGGACTGGGTGTGTTTGATACTTACACCCCAGGCCAGGCCCCTTTGCTGAGAAGACTCCTTGGACTATTTCCCAAGAAACCCCCACATACACCCCTTCACAAGCCACCCCTCCCAAGAGGCAGGGGGCCCTCCGCCCCCTCCCCTATGTACTCCCCACCTGTGTTCTGTTTGACCAGCACAGAAATATTAAACGTCCTCTCTTCACCGGGCCCTGTGTGTGTCAGCAAGGGAGGGGAGGACGCTGTGGGCAGCGGGGGCTCCTGTAGGGGCTCTTGCTGCAAGTGCGGAAGTGGACCGAGCCCAGCACCTGCGCCTCCACATTCATTCACAGCTTTGTTCCAGCTCCTCTCTGCCCCACCTGGCTCCCTTTGCCACTCGTCATCTGGGGAATTTTCTCTCAAACCAGGTCTCCATCATTCTCCTATTTTCTCCCAAAGTCACAACCCCTGGGCCCAGTTCCTTCATGGGTTTGACATCGAAGTTTTCCTGCCTGGACGTTTTCACTGGGGAGTAGATTTCCTCTTGGGATCCAGAGGGTTCTTGCTGCAGAAGCACATGCCCGGGAAGCCCTCTGGGCCCATCACCCATGGGTGAAGGCTACCTGGATAGGCGTGTGTGGGGAAGGGAGTGGCATTGAGATGCTTGTCCGCCACTCTGCAGTGTAAGCAGTGGTGGACTCAGGTCAAAAAAGGGGCTATTGCAGCCCATGCAAAAGGGACCCCGGACAGTTGGGGGAGGGAAGGAAGAGGTTCAGGCCATTAAAGGCAGAGCAGGATAGGGGGCAGCACTGCACTAGCCCACACCAAATCCTGACCCCCACCCACTACCCAACCCCAATAGGGGAGCCCCCCACCTCTCAGACCCCAGTGCCCACCATTGGGCTGTCTCCCAGCTCCCTTCCTGCACCTTGGGCACATCTCCACAGCGGGGCCCGGGAAGGAGTGTATGCACTTGGGGGAAGTGTGGGGAGAGGAGGGAAGGTGTTGAGAAAGCAGACCCAGTAATCCCACAAAGCATCAAAATGCTGGAACTTACCAAAAGCCAAGCTTGAGGGAAGTAGTGGGGGAAAGAGCCGGCAGGGTTTGGCGGTTGAGTCTCTGCTGACTTCCTGTCTCAGGCCTTTCCTACTCCTTTCAGCCATCATCTGTGGTCCCCCACCTTCTGTCAAGCCCAGTCTACCCCACCTCCTCCCCCTGCCCTAATCCTCTGGACACTGGTGCAGAGCTTGGAGTGAATCCCCTGTCCCTTCCTAGAGAGGGCATCTCAGGAGGGGCCAGGCCAGGGGAGACCTGCCCACCGGGCGCTACGAAGAAGTAGCACTGCTCGAATCACTGCCCCCCTCACCCTCCGTGGAGGCCGCCAGGGTTCTCAACAGCAGGACTAGCTTCATGTAATTTGTGTGGACAACAGGCATTCTCGGGCATTCTCGACAATGCAGCAAAGCAGTTACCCTCAGTTTCACTGTGGCCGCTTCCCTTTCCCCCTGCTTTCCCGTGGAACCCACCAGCCTTCTAGGGAATCCAGAGGTGTTAGCTGCCACCCGCCAGCTCCCTACTCCACCCGCAGGAGAAGGTTTGTTCCCTGGTTGGCCCTAGGAGTATTCTTCCCACATGGGAGACTCAAGGGACAAGATGACACCTAGCCTCAGTATCAGGACAGCCCTTCCAGTGGTCCTACTTCAGTTTCTCCTGCTTCAAACTAGTGTCTTTTTATTCCTTCCCCCAGGGATGTGGCAAATGTCTGAACAGTAACTTTGGACATGAGCTGAGACCTGTCCCAGGTGTTGGCAGAGAAGGTCTTAAAATGTAGGAAACAGGAGGCTGCTGTGGACCTCAATCTTCTGAGTTACAGACTCAACATTAATGTCCTTACTGTTCTGACAGATCCCATGTGGGGCAGCCCCACCCCCACCCCCCATCATTTGCTGTTCAGATGCTGTTGTGTCCGACTTTTTGCCACCCCATGGACTGGAGACCACTGCGCTGGCTCCTCTGTCCATGGATTTATTATGTCCTAAATAAGAACCACCTCACCCCCAGTCTTGTTTTGCTGTCAGGAAGTTCTGCATGTTGTCTAGCTTCTCTCCTTCCTACTGTTACCGGGAGCAGGTTATTAGCTCTGGCTGGTTGCTTGTTCAGGTCTGAATATTTCTGCATTTACTGGGTTAGAGCAAAGCTGTCTTGGGGAGCTTTTCTCAGGCTAGCAACAAAAAAAAAGGGGGGGGGGAATACTCCAAGCCAGACATTTTGAGGGTGAGAAGGTAACTAACAGTGGCTTCCCAGGTGGTGCAGGGATAAAGAACCCGCCTGCCAATGCAGGAGATGCAGGAGGCACTGGTTTGGTCCCTGGGTTGGGAAGATCCCCTGGAGTAGGAAATGGCAACTCGCTCCAGTATTCTTGCCTGGAAAGTTCCATGAACAGAGGAGCCTGGTGGGCGGCAGTCTGTGGGATCGCAGAGTTGGACACGACTGAGCACACACACTGGTGACTCTGTGGACTCTGCACCCGGCAGACGTTCCCTTCCCCTCACACTCAGGAGCCTCCTCTTCCCCTACTCGCCACCCTCGGCCAAGGCCTTTGCCAGTGGCCAGCAGAGGGCGCTTTAGACAAAGCTGAGCTTCTGCTCCTCTTTGGGCAAACTTGCCCTCCAGGGAAGGATGGGAGGTGGAGTGTGGGAGGGAGTGCTCAACTTCCTGTGACAACTACAGCCCTCTGACTCCAAGTCCCAGAGAGCAGTCTCTAGCCCAGGGCAGAAAAGGATTCCTCCTGCTGTTCGGGGGCTTCTAGACCCATGCAACTTTGACCTATGAAACACCTTGCACAGAAACGGAAGAAGTAAGAGAGATGAGAGCGATCCGGAGAGAAGACACCTCTGGAGCCTAGTACACTGGGCACCGTAAAGGGCTCAGTAAAGATTCTTAATGGTAACAGTAATTACTAACATTCAATGAGCTCTTATCACATACCACATCCTATTAGAGAAGTCTTATATTTTGTTTAATCTTTGCAACTCTGTTGTTGGCTGTTGTTCAGTCGCTAAATCGTGTCTGATTCTTTGAGACCCCATGGACGCCAGGTTACCCTATCCTCCACCATCTCCCAGAGGTTGCCTGGGCTCATGTCCATTGAGTAGGTGATGCCACCTAACTCCGAGTTAGATACTATTATTATCCCCACTTCACAGATGAGGAAACAGACTCAGGAAATCAGAGACTAACAGACGAAGCATTAGAAGAATGAGGAATCTGGTTGCAGTCTGGGGGAAGAGAAGAGAGCAACTTGGTGGCTTAGTCTCAGCTTTCTTGTAACACTGTACGCTGTGGCTTCCTCCCCTCTTCTTGGAGACTCCAAAAGGGGAAACTGAGGTACAGAGTGCCTCAGAGCTAGGAATCAGGCCCTGGCTTCAGAGTTCTCTAGGCAGAACCAGGTAAGTTGAGGCTTGAAATATCACTGAGGGACAGAGGGAGCCAGAGAAAGAAGGCTGAAACGCCATG